CTTTAATTTCTAAAGATACTGATAGCACTTGTTTAGGTGTCATAATAAAAACTTTTAAGCATTTCCTTGTAGAAAGATAGACTTTCTCACACTGTAATGCTCTGTTTGTTTGTTAAGCTCGGCGTTTTGGTAACGAGGACACTTAAGGCCCCTTGTTTAGACTTCCGAACCATGCTAGTAGCCCTACCCTCAGCTCTTCCGCATGTCGGTAGTACATAATCTGTAAGGATTTTAAGAATTTCTAAGTATCTAGAACACAGGCAAAAGGAATAGCCGACTGAGTACAAACACGGGGCCTTAGGTTCCCGAGAAATCAAAACAAAGAGTTAAGCAGACAATCAAAGCATTGCAGAAACCCTTTGTCTGTCGTCCTCGTCAAATCTTAAGTGGAAAGTGGGGCTTTCTGGCAAGTCCCAAATATATTTTACTGCATGTAATTGTGTGATCACAATTATCCTAATTTCGAGGATTCTGTTTCATTAACGAACATCCCAAATTTCTCTACACTTTTTAGATAAGGACGAATTTGGACACGCTATAACAAAAATGTTTTGTGATAATGTCCGTTTAAAATGTCCAAACATTATTAGAATGGACTGTCGGAATTTTTAATTATACACCACTTTAATTGCAGACCACCTAGTTTGCGTCACATGCTCTTGTCTCAACGACAATTAATTTTCAAATTCGCTCAGCTCATCCATTTGTCAAATGGATGTTGACCTCTTTTAAATTCTCCTGGGGGAATAATTTTCGTTCAAATTTTACGTTAGCGAAAGTACAAACACCCCTTACACTCGTCCTCATCAAAATGTGAATAAAAATCAGGATTTTTTACCAAAACCCAATCTTATTTTTCTATATGTAATTGTGGTAGTTTAATTATCATAATTCTGCGGACACCATTGTAATTCTTTGACTGTTTGTTTACTTCTTGGTTTTATTAGCGGACCACTTCGGTGTTCGCCATTGTACCGCCGCCGTGCGGCCTGGTCTGCGGGCCATGCCGGTACTCCTCATACCCTGCTGTACATCGGCAGTACATATTCCTCCCGAGTAGTGTACTTCCTCTCCTTTTCAGGAGGGTCTTGATGAGTGGCAACCATTTCACTGGTGAATTTTACCCTCTAAGAGAAATTGCGAGCCCCATCTATGACGTCTAGAGAGTGGCGATTTTTGATGTCTTCCAAGGTGAAATGTTTTGTAATAGTTGCAAATGAATTAGCGAGCACACACAGTCCCTATCTCCCAATGGGGTATTCCAATCATTTAAAACTTTAACTGAGGAGTCTGTTGGAGCTTTTTCATGAAATAGGAGAGTCATGCACAATATGTTAGTTGTCAAAACGTGCTGTTAAATTATCATATACGCTAGATTGTTTACGATATATGTACTTTGTGTCGATTTTGAGAGACAGAATCCTCCCCAAAAGCGGTGCAAAAGACGCAGCGCAATCGCAAATGCGCTGAAGAGCTGACGGGCGACGTGAATGAAGTACAGTAGCAGAAACTGCGGAGAATGCGACGCTTGCTTGAAAACAAAACAACTTACACAAATATTTTTCCATTGCAGACACATACTTTTTCACACTTCCAGTTTAACCCGTTTCGTGTCGTAAAATAAAGTTAGAGATGGATATGATCGCTTCACCTTACAACACTAAATCAACCTTACTGAATGAAAGGGAGGGAGGAGAATAGTAATTAGCAGGGTAGCGCTTTCTAACCATCAAAAAGTAGGACATTGCATGTCAGTGTCGTGGAGCAGTGAATTCGTCGTATTTTTGCTGCCGTTTAGGCATCAAGAAAGAGGAAGGAAGGTTCCAGCTTTTATTATCAAACTTCAAGTCTTATGTACACTTGAAGAAAAAATCTCAAAATTTCCCAAATGCTAGTTTTGTTACGAAACCGGTGTCCACTTAAGACATCACGCAACCTTGACTAGACTTTAGCAGTCTCCATCGCAGCAGTAATAGGGATAAATTAGGGGAAGAAAATTTGGCAAATATTTTAGCCTTGGAAAACGAAGATAACTTAGAATTAATTTCCAGGGTTAAACTGATTGGTTGTCTTTCAAAATAATGCAGTTGAAGTTAAAGGCCTCGAATGGAAGCTTTTAGACTTCTTTGAAGGCCCTTCCGCTTCGCTAAATAACTCTCCATGTCCATAGATCTTCCGCCATGGGAATGTTTACCTGACCCTTGGCTACCGTAGCTACCTTGGATTGATGAAGTCGGGCGAAATTATTCACTTAAATATTATTTGTGAAGAAGCAAAATAATCCTTAGTTTATTTTAAAAGATGAATTAATCATTGTAGAGTACCTATGCCCTTGCATCTATGCAGCATACAAGAGTTAGGATTTGTGATTTTTGAGAAAAAATGCATTAAATCATGAGGCAGTCAAACGCATCCTCTGCATTCGGCATTGCAGCTGCGAAGAGTCAACATGGGAATTGGTGGCATGTAATAAAGACTGCCAAAAAATATCAGAATCAGTCGTTTCTCCTCTCTTTTTTCCCAAAATACCTTTTTGGCACTAAATTGTAATTTATGATTTGAGCGTCCATCCTCACCGCCTTAGCAAGACATCACTAAATAGTGAATATTTCAGCTTAAGAGGATATTTCGGAGATAATTAGAAGCTGATGTGCTTTAGAAAATTCACTGGAATTTCGAAGCAAAATGGCTAATACTCTTGGAAATCAGCCAAACATAACCTCTAACCATGTACTTTTATCCTTCGTTACGAACCGGTATCCTTAAGGTTGGAAGTCCTCTAGTCAGCTTTCATAACGGCAGGTTTTTACTCGTTAGCAGCTTTTGACTGGAATCCGCAGTCCAGATAAGAGGTCAAACGCCTTTACTATCCACTGATGGCCAATTCAGGCAGTCGTCATGGCAGTGGAGGCGTTACTACCATTGCCACTCATAAGCACCGCCTAATCAGCCTCCTGGCCAATCAGCTGACGCGTTTGCGAAGATACGACCAATCACAGTCCGGTTATTGGTGATTTACCCAAGCACTGGACATTCTCCTTATCATACATACAGACGTGTTGCACAAACGCATCCTTTAGTATGTCTCGAACAAACGTCACCTGCAGTGAAAAAGCGACCGAACATGCCTTCTTTCTGAACTGGACACGATCCCATCTCAGAAGAACTACGCAGAAACTTCGACGCACTATGATAACCACAGCGGATTGGCCTCCACCTCGAGTTATCTTTAACTCCGAAATGTCCATTACGCATAATGGAAATGGGGACAAAACAACGGCGTGGTTCCTGCCCTGCTGTTTCCAAAGCTGTCGAAACCAGTCGCCTGAAATTGAGGACACCAGGAACAGTAGAATCTCGCAGATGCTCCTGGGGACGTATAAGGGTGAAAACGATGTGAAGTGCAAGAATTTGATGCTTAGAACGGGTCCGGATGGTAGCTTGATCTGTGCTGACCATGTGGATGTGAATATGTTGATCGAGGGGTTTCGTGAATTTGAGCGACGATTTCAATATGGCACACTGATGCCCTTTGCAAATGTTCTTCCTAGCTTGAATTCGGTTCGAAATGCAATGAGTCAGGAGGCTATTCAAGAAGAGACAAATGAGGAGGATAGTGCTTCGTCTGACTTAAAGGAAGTGAGGAAGGAAAAGGAGCAGGAGGAAGAAGAAGTCTTTCAAGAGATCCACCAAGATGTGTTGATGGGTCAGGATATTTGCGAGGAGTGATTGGACCTGTTCACGCGTATTTTTACCGAACTGAAGTCTCCCTACCGACCTCCTTTTGCGGCATCATACCATTGATCTTAAAATTAACCTACATCATGTAAATGTCTTTTATAAAAGAGATTTTATGTCACACATTCAGTAAAAGATTAAGTGTTTCATAGCTTTATCGGACCCTCAATTGTTTAGTAGTATTTTGATATCGAATCCACTCCAACACTAGCCTTCTTTCATCGTGTTTTGGATACATCCAAGTCAAAAAAACTTTTTAAAAAGCCAAAATTTTGAAATCAGGAATTTGTCAAAATGATTGATATGTAGATCAAATGTTGTGGTACTCTGGCCTTTAAACAGATTTGTCATTAAAGCACTGAAAATATTTGAGCAAAATGGGGCGTAGAGTTTCAAGAAATAGTACCTCTCGAAATATTGCTAGAGGTAACTGGAAATATATCTCGCAAATTAAATTGAGTTATTTCCTATTTTTGTTTAAGCTCATCAGCAGCCCTATAATCCCTTCGACACCCGTTAGCTGCGAGCTGCTTGTGTTTATTTTGACAAGAGCTATGTGAAAGCCAGAATTAGCCCCAAATTGCTTCTCCTCCACGTTTTTCCAAATTTGAGGTGACAGTATCGTGTCAAAAAGTGTTAATGCGTCAGTAACCGCGTACGCAAGACGCAATGACAATCAAATTATAACCAAACTGTTTTAACTACTTGGAAATTTAAGAAGCAACTAGAAATGTACGCATATTCTATGAGGGGTCGAAATGCAGCTGTCATTTTTGGGTACGAAATTGGGTTTTAGACACCATTACTTTGTTTGATTGTTGCTTAATGGGAGCTTGCTATCCCTCTAAGGAAAACATTTCTCAGCCCGAAGGAAAGCACTAGCAAAAAAAGGCATATTTGTCCACTTTTGCGTTCACAGGAAATTGTAGCAATTTGGTTTGTGAATCACGCATTTGTCCACCTGTGCTAATGCGAATGGAGCGGGAGTGAGGGCATATCAGTTCCCAATTCCGTATAGTGTCTTCCTTTATTAAAGTAGAAAGATCAACCCTCCATCTATGTGTCAAGAACGGGTGAAGGTTAGAAGTATGTACATTTTTCACCTTCAGATGGTCATTTCTTCATGTTGCTTAATAAAGGAGTGAACATCTTGAAATGGACCAACCGATGAGATCTTACTGCTGTTGAAGCTTAAATGCAGCTAAAACCTTCCACTTTTGATGTTGAATGACAAGTGGGAATTGCGGCTAAGGTAACGAAAATAGGAAACAGGAGAAACATCTGGTTCACGGGACGGATACTTCTTACCCCAAAAACGCATTTGCTGCTTCTGATGTAACCGCCTCCCCAATAGACCGCTGCAATGATTACTTTTTTCTCCGTGACCCAGCTTTGAGGCAAACAAGAAGCGATCATTCACGGTGTGTGCGTGGAACCCGCCACCCTCTCTCTCCTGCCGGCAGGTGGCGCTAACGCACCTAATTCTTGCCTTTTAATTGCAGATACTTCAGTAAGTCAAAATGCAGGCTGTTATTACTGAAAATGTAATAACAAAAGATCGGAGGAACTCTGGCGATAAAGAAGCTGGTTCATGAGGAACGGTAAAGTTAAACTAGGGATTCTGATACCACTCGCATGTGATTAGAAGGGGATCAAAAGTATACAACCAGCAGATATCTCTACCCCCACAGAAGATGTCAATTCCAGCTTGTGTGGTGGCTACGGCCCCCTCTCCTCAGCATAAAGTCAGCTGAATGATGTAAGGGTTTCTAAGGCGGCTTCGCATTGTATGCCAGTGACGATCAGCGTAAAGAGTGTAAAGAGCATCTGTAAGGTAAATTTTATTTGCACTTCTTTGAATTTATGCTTTACCTCTTTCTTAAACGTAGTCTCACTTTTACTTCAATACAGGTCGTAGGTAGGTATTGGTGTCACACATTAACTGTAGATTAGACAAAGATCACACATGACATCCACTTAGATGCCAAACGGTAATGAAGACTTTTAAGCATCACAAATTTAAATAAGTTCCAGAATTGTCATGGCCCAGTCTCATCTATAACGATCTCAAAAAATGTACTATAGCTCTATTAACACTTTTGCCACTGAGTCACGTATTTTTGACGGTTTGACTGCTATCTGAGCTCGGCTGCATAATGGCATGACGGATAAGCGGCTGTATCACATCTTGCGTTGCAAGCAGATTGGAAGGACTTAAAACAATAAAACTGGCGTAGAATATTCCTGGCCTGAGGAGAGCTATTTCGGTTGGTTTAGACTTTGAGCAGTATGACTTGAAATGGAACGTATCGATGCAGCCCTATCTTGTGCTTATTTTAAAAAATCGGATCTTTAAGGACATTTAAGTGTAATCAAATTTGATTGAACAATAAAAGTCCCACGCAGTCAATGTACATTCAAAATGACTAACCAAAGCGTCTCAACATAATAAAAAATTCAAAACACAGACAGTGACCAAATCAGATGCGGACTTCTTAGTCTCCAAGAAGAGTAAATGTGGCATTTATTATTTTCAACGTGGTCCTTTCATACGCTTATGTAATATTTTAATTATTTATTTTATGCTCAGTTTTGGTAACAGGCCACTTTGGAGCTCCGTTATTGTACCTCTGTCGGGCGCTCTCGTCTCCAGGTCATTCCAGGCGCTAAAATTATCTTAGCAATTTACAAACAAATAAAAAGTTTTGACTACGGTGGATTTTCCAATGCACCTGTACCTCCACAAACAATCTGTGCTAAGTTACTCTTAGTAAAATAATACCAACACCTCACCGCTTTGATGCGCACTTATGTTCTGCAATTAAATGACGCACCTAAATCTTGTCAGGCGTGATATTGCAATCCGGAAAAATTGTCGCCTTCATCAATACCTTCCTTCAACTCAGTGCAGCGGAAATTGAATCGTCCGCATTGGTCAAAGACCAAAAACTGCCTCGGCATTCGCCGTGCCCAAATGTTACGAAATTGCAAGCCGGGCAGAGGTGGTTGTGCCATGTTCACGTCCCCATAGGGAAACTAACATCACCACAAAAGCGTACCTTTTATTGCCGGCATTAGTGTCATGAGGATGGTTTATTACAAATATCAGTTAAACTTTCAAAAGTGGTCTCTTATGAATTTTGACGAAATCCCTTTACTGTGGCACTCCTAGACACGATGAACCGAATCCTCGAAGTGCACTTCCCGCAAAAATTGTACCATCCAGATCCCCATTTGCGAAATCCAAATTTCGTGCAGATGATTTCAATGCCTGCGTGACATGAGAGCAGCAAAAATTAGTGTTTACATTAGCATTCTGTTTAAAATTTCTCTCAATTTTGTAAAATATGCTGTCAAGCTTTTTCATCACATTCTCCAACTCGACGGTGGAATTTGATTTCTACTACCCATTATGTGATTGACTGTTGGCCTTTTTCTACAACAAATGTGGAAAGAATGTTGGGTGTGGGAAGGGTACTCCATCCGTAGAAGGCGAGTCAAACCACAAAAAAATGACAAATGCAATTTTCTCGCTGCCTGGATATTATTAAGCTAAATTGAATGTCAAAATTTTCTGCAATGTTTTGACTTTGTGAAGCAAAACCTAGCTCGCCATGTTTGTTACAAGCGCCCCAAATATGTGACACACGTTTATGTCTGTTTATGACATATAACTGGCTGCACCAAATCGTGTTTTGCAGACAGATTGGCTGGGTTCGAAGCAATAAAAACTAACCCCTGGATGCTTTGGGTCTGAAGATAATTCTATTTATTTTTAGTTAGTGGCATTTTAGATGGAATGTGTTGATTGTGGTGAACAATTTCCTTCCAGAAGTCTTTTAATGGACCACTTATTTCGCAGCATACAAGCAACAAATAAAGTGCGGGAATTCGATTTGTGGGAAGAGTTTCCAATTCCTTATAATTATAGGTCTTTTTAAATGGTTATGTCTCCAATGAGTAATGTTACGGCTTCATTTAGGATCTTAAAATTTGTTAACAGGTTAGCTGTGGCTTGACACTACTTTGACTCATTCGCCATGTCTGCACTTACTACACCACTCCTGGGTAATGTTAATCATAGACCAACATAGACACTGATAACTTTGGAGCCAATTCGTCAAAACGCCGCGACTAACTTCAAAGGCGTTTTAAGACATGCTTGCCAAGAGGAGACAAGGAGCACAGGCCACGTGGGTAAGGCACCATCCCACCACTGAGGAGAAATGGGAAGGTTTCGTGTCACAGGGACCACGCCCCTAAATTATTCCTCCTCTCCTGTTTGATGGTTTTATACCTAAACCTAAGCAAATCCACAGATAGTCTTTATTACGTTGTAATACGGATCTTAGTCGGTGGAAAACGTAGAGCATTTTTCTAAAAGATTTGACTACTGTTGTGTCACACTTTTTCCCATACGTGACAGTTTTGTCATACTCTCCCCAGTTGCCCACAAAGTAATAACGCGAGGAGAGTATAAACCAAGAAATGAGGGTAAAAACATGCGAAACTGTATTGTATTGTAGTGTCACGTGTCTGCACCCATTGTTCCTCATCCCTTTATGATAAATGAATGCCCACATTAAATCGCGCAATATGAAAGAGTTGGCGGAGTTCAAAACAACGAAGGATAATTACACATGTGACTTGCGAGAACAATAAGTTATCTTTTCTGCGCTGTGGCTGTTGATTGTCCCTGAGACTCCAGTAGCGAGGGTAGAAAGCACAAAGGAGATAAGTGAGTTCTCGAGAATGACTGGAGAGAACACAACCTCCAGCATAGGAAATGCTCGCAGCGTCTACTTGAAAAAGTAGTCGGTTGTGCTAATACAAATTCCGTACTGGTTCACATTCTTAACAAGCAAATTTTGTGGTTTGAATGGAAAACTAGCGAATAATTTCAATTAGTTTCAAGTTGAATGGTAATTTGATTTCCTGTGGAGATAAAAAATATTCATTCCATTTCTTCCCACCTCATAATTTACCATACG